GTTGGCTGGTCATAGTTACATCCTAGTAGGGAAGATGTCACCACTCTATTAATGACATAATGTTCATTGTCCCTGGTCCGAGACTGTAACTTCTCAAGTACAGTTTTTTACTTACAATTATTGTAGATGAATATCAGCAGTAGGCAGAAGTAAAGGCAAGAAATAGAAGTAAAGGAAATACTGTTCTTGGGAATTCTTCCGTGCCTTGTTTTCTCATCATTAGTGACTTTTAAAATTCAAGGCTTAGTGGTTTCCTTTTACTGAAAAATTAACTCATTTGGTGTCCAGGCCTTTTATTGTTAAAAATTATCTACTGAAGGACTTTTGTATTCATAGCTTTACCTATGCTATGTCTAAACAAAAATGGCAATACATATTTAAATGGCTATTAAGCCATTAACTTCTCAGGGTAGCTTTGAGTGTAAAATCTTTGCAGGCTCCCTGGACTGTGACTTTAGTTTTTGCTCAATAGATTAGCAGTTCTGTGTACTGCTTTATTCTAAATTAAAAATCTAAGGCTCATATTTTCATGTCCATAATCTGGCATATTTGCTATGGAGATTGAATAGATCTAGAGTCTGGATTAGAACACACCCTCTCTGACTGTACAAAGTGCTTCATGCTCAGGGTGAAATATCTGAAGTCTAATTAGAATAATTCCACCCTTCTCAGGTTTACTTTTTAAAGTGATTTTTAAATTCTTTGAATTCATCATTAGAAACACATCTTCTAAATGTAAAGTAACATATTAGCTGTGCCTTAGGAAGGAAATCCATGATAGCCAATTCTTTGGGTTAATTTTTAAATTTCATGGTTATATTCTTGCTGGATTTTAGTTTTAAAGATCTGCTTTTATCACTGGGCACAGTGGATCATGCTGTAATTGAGGCACTTAGGGGACTAAGGTCGGAGGAATTATTTAAGAATACATACATGTCTTGCTTTTATATTACTCTGAGGCGCAATGTTATTTTACGTGTATAAATGTTCTGCCTGTATATATGTACATGTATCACATTCATGCCTAGTGCCCAGGCCCCCACTGAATCTCTTGATACTGGAGGTAGAGGTGGTTGCGAGCTACCACATGGATGCTGGAATCAAACCTGGGTCCTCTGCAAGAGCAGCAAGTGCTCTTAACCACTGAGCCATCTCTCCAGCACCCCAAAGTCTGTTTTAGTCTTACTTAAGGTAAAGTTCTCAAAAGCCAGATTCTATATTTTTTTTTCATGCCCAGGACAGGTTGGAAGCAGCAATGAAAGAAGCTATTAGATTAGTTGATGTCAGTGAAATAAGGAGAAAATCCAAGAGCACCTGCTCTGAAAGCACCAACGATGACCTAGCGTGGACGTCCTGCCCTGTCCTGGCATCGGGCGTTTCTACTAGCATTTGTGACTTTGATCCTAAACAGCTCACTGGAGTTTTGGGACAGTCCCCAAAGCTCAAGAACACAGAAACATGGCACATTTTAGAAAGATGAGTGATCTTTGAATCTACTACTGTCAGTCTCACCCAATTTTATCATATTTTCCACTATCTTTACCAAAATATCAAATGCTATATTTATATGTTTGAGGCCCTCTTTCCTACATTTTGAACTCGGTTGAAAGCGGTAGTTGGCATTCTCACACATTGCCTATCTGTATTAAAGGTGTATATGTAGGCACACACAGAAGTCCTAAGATTATCATACTTGTTTTTGCCACTTTAAAAAATTTATACTCTATTGGGAAATGTAGCCTACACCAGTAACCTCTGTTACTCATTTTAACAGTTATTTCATATGCGGTAGCAAAATTATTAGCTATTTACCTATTGGTGAAATTATAATTTTCCATTTCCTGAATAATGTGTATAATGCTACAGTGGACTATATCTTCTCTTGTGTGAGTAATATGCTGTAAAACTTCAGCTTTTATTGATAATTTATTGTCCGGCATACTTATATACCTTTTTTTTTTTTTAAGTTTTTCAAAACAGGGTTTCTCTGTAGTTTTGGTGCCTGTTTTGGATCTCGTTCTATAGACCAGGCTGGCCCTGGCTCTGCCTCCCGAGTGCTGGGATTAAAGGCGCGCACCACCACCACCACCACCACCACCACCCCCAGCCTTATACACCAGTTTCTGCCTTTTTCACTCTCACTGCCGTGCACAGAATCCCTGTAGCTTCTAATTCTTTCCATCCTTGACTAGTTTTTTATAGAATTCCTTTTGAATGTAAAATTATGGATTGTTGTGGTTTTAATTTGCACATCCCTGCTTTCTTATAAGTATAACTTAGTTAATGGTTATAATTCATTTCTTTGATCTGCCGTGATTTACCTTGTCATACCTTCTGGTTGTTGTTTATCTTCTGTTTGTTAATGCCTAGTGTGTAGGCATCTCTCGTGTTGTGAACACTAATGCTTTGGCCTTCTAAGTATATACTTAATCTGGGATGTGTCTTGATAGTGTTTGATTGAAAATTTTAACAGAAAAATATCCATCTTTCATAGCTTCTGTTTTTGTCGTTTTTAGGACATTCTTCTTTAAGGTCATAGATATTACTTGAAAAAGACTTAACTTTTGTTTTTCATTTATCATTAATTCAATTAAATTTTCTTTTCTCCTATAAATGCTTAATTACACCTATACCATTTAATGAATGGTCTATCCTTATCTTTTGTTAGGAGAATCACATCTCTCATGTATCAGATACCCACACATGCTTAGGTCTGTGTCTAAGTCTTTTGTCCTAATGATCTGTTTGTGTTTGTAGCAATACTGCCTTAATTTTGATATCAGGTAGGGTAAGTCTCCCAAGAGCATTGTTGATAATTATTCAGGGGTATCTTAACCATTCTTGATACTATATAATTTTTATCTGAAGTTTAATTTTATATATGTTATATGTGAAATTGAAGTTCTTTTTAAAAATCTGGTTGGTATTTTCATGCAAATTGCATTTTATTTATCAATTTGTTACATGCTTAGTTCAATTCAAAAATGAGTATATGGTTAAAAGGAAAAATCCTAATTTTTGCATAAATTATTTGTCAAGAACCGTCTGTATTTCAAAGGTTCTTGAATCTTCAAGGGTTTATTAAACTGAAGGAAGTACTTTTAAAACCATCTTTATATTTCCTCTTTATTTCTAATTTCTCTATAAAATGTTTGTTTTACATCTGACTTTCTGTTGTAGAATATAACAGTAGCTTGAAAATCTCCAACAGTCACTAGTAGAGAAATTTGTTTATGTGATGTTTTTTCAATGCTTATACATGATACAACTGACATTTCTACAGCATATCTCAGCTAATGATGTTTGTTCCCTAAGTCTACATGGTTTATGTCAAATACCATAGAAGAGTGTGTGTGTGTGTGTGTGTGTGAGAGAGAGAGAGAGAGAGAGAGAGAGAGAGAGAGAGAGAGAGAGAGAGAGGAGAGTGTGTGTGTAAGTGTGTGTATAATACATATATAATTTGTCTTTAAAAATGAGAGTCAAATGATGGGATTAACTGTTTGCTAAACCTTACTTTTGGCCTTCTGCAGAGACTTGTAGCCACTACAGGAAGCCAACAGCGCAGTCGCCTTTCCATCATGGCCCAGTACCTCTGCAATGTTGAGCACCTCTTTACAATTCCCGGAAAAGCCTTTGTTCCCAAGCCAGAGGTAAGTGTTTACGTATATGAGTGTGAATTGTTGTATGTTCCACTGAAGATACTTCATAGGACATGATCTCTCAGACCTCAAACTTATCTGCAACTGTTCTATTACCACATGACTATTGCAGAGCATGAAAGTCTACTAAGTAAAGAATTGAAGTATTTTCGTCTCTTTTCTGTATACACAAGTGCAGATTATTTATTCACATAAACATCTTTCCACTTCCTCAGTCATTAATGCACAGTCTTCTTCCTTTAGCAGTTGTATTATAAGCAATCAGTTTAGCATAAATGAGCAAGGAGATTACTAGAAAACTACAGTGTTTCTTTGCACCTATGAAAAGTCCAAATTTTTGTTAGAATTTTTTTTTTTTTTTTTTTGGTTTTTTTCGAGACAGGGTTTCTCTGTGTAGCTTTGCGCCTTTCCTGGAACTCACTTGGTAGCCCGGGCTGGCCTCAAACTCACAGAGATCCACCTGGCTCTGCCTCCCGAGTGCTGGGATTGCCCAGCATTGTTAGAATATTTTAATTACATGTCATAATTTATAAGCATTTTAAAAATATTCTTTATACTTTAAGAGTTATTTTACTTCTGTTAACTGAAGATGCTCATTTATAAGAGAACAGCAGTGTTTTTGTTGACTTGAATAAAATTGGAGAGAAAGTACAACTAAAAAGTGACTAAGCTGGGCGTAGTAGAACATGTCTCTAAGCACACAGGAGGCAGTGCGGCTTATCTAGTACCCTGTCTCAGAGGGAAAATGTCACTGAGTCAGTGCTAACTGTGCGATTCATTGGGATGGGGTAAATCTAAGCAATTGGAGAGATGAACTTACGTGTTTTCTGGGTGCAGAAGAGAGGGCAGGCCTTGGGTAACTTAAAGCAAATGGAGCTCTTATCAGTTGGCTGTACTTCAAAAGGGCCATATTTTAGTTTGTGCTTACATTGACTTTTGTGTGCTGCAGTGGCGTCTACCAGTTCATTCATTCTACCTAAGTTTAGTTTGCATAGATTATAATACCATAACACATATAAAAATTAGAGTGGAAGCTGGGGCTTGGGGTGGCAACATCTGCGTGAGTTCTGGTGCTGTGTTCCTAGAGTCTCCTCCACATCCTTTGGCTTTAAAACAGACGCAGGCTACTCAGGCATTGCCCACCAGAGGGCAAAATAGGCAATATTCTTGATCAACAAAACACCAAGAGAAGGTACTTTTTATACTTCGTAACTACGAAAATCTATTCTAAAATATATCTTTAAAAATAAATTAATGCTGTCACCCATCACCTTATTAATACAGTCAGGCCTCTTTCAATTATATACTTTTAAATAAAACATAAATGCAATAACAAGAAAATAAAGAAATTCAAGACAGATATAATTGTAGATGGCATTTTAAAGTACCTCACAATTTTTCTGATATTTTGTACTCTTTGTAAAGGAAGTTAAGCATAAGAGTGTTTTGTTTTCTTCATTCTGATAAAGTTTTAGCAGGTCCCAGAAGCCTCACTGCATGTTCATTGCACAGCTCTTTACACGTAATTCTTTAAGTTGTAAGCTAACCTCTTCTCTGGCTGCCAGGTAGAGGTATGTTCCTGCTTGGGAGGGTAGATCCATGGTTTTGGGTTCTTTTTTACATAAGAAATGCAGAAAATAACACCAGAGATAAGTAGTAGCATCGCCGAAATGAACCCAATGTAGACGGCTCCTCCAGGTTCATACTTGTTGCTTTTCGGAACAGTCAGATCTAGAAAGTTTTCTACGATCTCCTTGGTGTACCACACTGTTGGGATTAAGCCAGAGATCCCTGCAGTCATGAAGCAGATTCCTCCAGCAAAAGCAATTTGACTCTTGGTGTGTGTGTCCCCTCCTAAGTGAGTGCATTTCATTCCTACTACCGAAGTGCAAATCCCCAGAGCAGACAGAACGCAGGCCAGGACCATGGTGGCCCTGGCGGTCTGCACGTGGATGGGTAGAGACAGGATGGAGTATTTCAGAGAGCAGCTGAACATCCCAGTGCTGTACCACGTGCAGTCCATCCACAGCCCGTGCACCTGTACAATGGCGGTCACAATGCTGGAGCCCAGAGCTGCAGTAACCTTCCAGGTGGGCAGCAGAGTGGCGGTGAGGACCCCCGAGACCCCAGACAAGGCCAGGACGAAAGCGAGGAGCTGGACACCCGCCGAGGCCATGCTGTTACTCTTCACTTCGGTTCTCCTAGGAGATCCCAGTGGTTAATTGTGGTGTGTGGTCAGGTCGGTAGCTGGTCTGTGCAGTTGAGAACCAGGTAACAAAAGCTAGGGAAAGAAGCAGAAGCAGAATTGGGGGAGGAAAAGAATAAGTAATCGAAGGCTTCCCACAGAAGCCAGAACACTCCTTATCTCCATGATGCATGCATACACACACACACACACACACACACACACACACACACACGGAATGAGGATGCTGCCGTTTCAGAGAACATTTCATGGTAGGCCTTCGGAATAGCATTCTGCTGAGTTGAGTGTCATGAGCAGTGCTGGATTCATGGCATACGTAGAGCACTTCACATAAAACCATAAGTCTGCTGAAAATTCTGTAAAATGGGTATATACCTTGTTAGGCTGTTGAGAAACTTCAAATTGTAGCTGTAGTGTCTGATACAGAATCTTATTACCATTATAGATCACTTTAAATAACTTTGTTTTTAATGAAAATAACATCAAAACAATAAAAAGCTTAAATCTACCTCCTCCAAATAATTTATAGATAAAAGAAAAGTAAGAACTGAAAAATAGTTTGAATTAAATCTTCATTCAGCACACACCATGTGTGACCCAGGATATTATTGAAAGAGAAAGAAGAATTGAAGGAATTTAGAGTCCTGCACAGCCTTTACTTCGGTTAGCATTTGCTTAGCTTATGTCCCTAGTTCTATCCTTTCTACTCGCAACCAGATTCCTTCCCAGTTATACTCCAGAAGAAGTGTTCAACTGCAGAACTGACTCCCCTGAATGATTCAGAAATAGAGACGGAAAATCTTGAAAGTCTGCTCCAGAAGTAGCCACATTGTTGGCTGTAGGTAAACTAGTACCCCACCCCTTGTTTTACTTTGTGATTGGCTTTAAAACACGAAACAGCTTCCTCGTTCTGTGTTCATGTTCCTGTTCCACCATTATGCACTCTATCTGATAGGACTCAGTGCTTTGAGAGCAGTATGATGCTCTCTGGAATGCTGCAATATTGGCTTTTTTTATTTTTTACTTTTTGTCTTTCTGAAATAATTTTTAATGATATACTGCAGTGACTGTTACAACTTTTACATGCACTTAATTCATAACTGAGCACTGTGGGCCTCTTCAAACCAAACAGCCTAGAGGTGGTTTTTGCTTTCCTGCTCTTTCTCAGGACTTGAGTATCCTTCCAGAAAGGGAGACATTTGGCTTTTTTCTTATCCTTCCTTGGGCTGACCTAATTTTCTTAGAATCCTAGAGCTGAAGGAAACCTCAGCTGTAACCCTGAGTGTCATTATTTTGTCAAGTCAGTGTACCCAGGTGGAAGCATCCATGCCACGGTCTTCTGCAGGGCTACCATGTCTCTATCCTTCCTGTCACCCTGTGTTTACCACTGCAGTGCTCCAGAGGCCTGCAGAGGGTATGGCTGGGACTGAGAGGGTGTGGCTGGGACCGTGGTCTGGCTGGGACCGTGGTCTGGCTTCCCTTCTCACCAAGATGCTGATGTTGGCTCCTCTTAAACACCTGAAGTGATGCTAATCTGAGCCTGTGGAGCACAGACCTGCCGTGGGTACAAACCAGTCCTAGAACATCAGAGCCTCCTCTACCTGGATTGAGTACTGTGTTTGTCAGTCCCATGATTTTAGAGGAGGAGGAGCCTCTGGGATTTTACATTCGTATGAGTCAGCATGTGCACAAACCTCAGTGGTCTTAGGACGCATCTCCTGCTGGCAATTTGCTTCTTCTGTCTTCTACATTTCCTTGCTATAACCAAAACAGAAAGATAAAAGCTTAAGAGGGCGGGGGTTGGGGGGACAAGCATGTGTGTATACAGTTTTACAATAGCTGCCGAGTTCAAGCACATGTGTGTACAGTTTTACAATAGCTGCCGAGTTCAAGCACATGTGTGTGTATACAGTTTTACAATAGCTGCCGAGTTCAAGCACATGTGTGTATACAGTTTTACAATAGCTGCCGAGTTCAAGCACGTGTGTGTATACAGTTTTACAATAGCTGCCGAGTTCAGGTGTCAGTCTATGAGACTGTCTCCCAGACTATTTCCAGCCCAGGAGTTTTGCAGCAGTTGAGATCACTGTTAACACTGCCTAAGATCATCCTGATGTTCGCTTTTGCTTTCCCGGGATAATTTTTATATGTTGATCAGTCTATCCAGCTTTTCCATTATAGCTCTTTCCTTTCCATCAAGCAGTGTTTTCTACACTTCCGTGTCTTGCAGACCTGCAGTCAGTTGTTGTCATAATTAACAAGCTCTGGCAGCAGTAAATTGCAGACAGGCAAAACAGGCAGGTAAAGACTAAGACATTGTATCTAGTTAGTGCAACGCTTGCTTCCTGCAGAAGATGACTTCACATCCTCTTGTGCATAGAGAATTAAGTTAAAGAAGAGCATGTTCTCTAAATGAAGGTCACTGTCCTGCTCCAGGTATACAAATGCACTGACATTCTCTCTTGCCCTTAGGATCTCCTCTCCAGCACAGGCATAAGTTTATATAGCATATTCCCTCGGTTTCAGGCTGGTGGAGAATCAAGGCACACTTAGTTTAGCAATTGTAGTAACGACAGCAGTCACAAGGGAAATGCTGTGGCAGTCCCTCAAAGCGAGAGACTTGAATCTTTAGAGAGAGCACTCACATTTCCAGAACACATCACATGGAGAACAGAACCTAGAAGTGCCCGGTTTATGAACTGCTTGCCAAAAGGAAGTCTGTCAATTTTTCTTCAAAATTTAAAGCTAGTTTTCCAGAAAAGATTCATTTGTACCAAAAATATTTAAGATATGTAACTTCTAATTCAAATGAAGCGATATTCTGAATTTTGTACTTAGCTGCCAAAACAGTCTAGAAGCTCTCCATACCTTTTGCCGGGAGCCCTTACAGTCTTAACCGCACGGAGTTGGCTCCAGACGTCTCCGGTGTCTGATGCGGAGGAGCCACATGTAGGAGGCCGGTTCTGAGATCTGAGCGTTGCCCGTGAAGTGCCCACAAGTTAGAGTAAAAATAGCAAATAAAGAGCTGCTCAGAGATGAGAGGTGAGAACTGCTGACAGTGCTGGAAGATAAATACCAGGTTCTCCTTCACAGAAAGGAGAGGCGGGCAGGGCGGGAGTTGTTGTTACAACAGGATTTGTTGAAACCTGAAAGCTGAAGATGCCTTTGTGCTGCTGTGCACAGAGCAGGGATTCTTTGGGTGCTCACAAAAGGCCTTTTTTTTTTTTTTTTTTTTCTATTATGTTTTAGTCATAGTTGTAATTTAGTTTTGAATTTTTATCAGTGTTGAAAGATACAATTTTATGTCCTCAGTTAGAGAATCCTGTCTGAAATATTGTTAACTGGAGTTGAGACTATCACTTTAATTTTTATTCTGTTGCTTCTTGGCCTTGTGTGAAACGAAGACTCCAAAAATTGTTAACTTTTAAAAACCACTCAGAAGAATTTTTTTCTTTAAAATTTTTAGTTAATATTTGAGTAGGATGTGGTCTGTAAACCCTCAGATGGGTGTGTTCTGTCTCACATTCTCTCTTCCCTGAGAGTCTTAGAAGCATGTGAGCTAGACAGCAGAGAATGTGAAGAAATTGTACAAATGATGATGAAGCATGGCAGATAACAGCTAGGGCCATGAGCATTTGGACAGATGCATTTCCCTTGGCCCTTTTAGGGTTTTTTTTTTTCTTAATAATTTTAATTTTACAAGTTATAAATTACATGGCCATTGGGCAGAAAGAGTAACCTTTTGATTAGATTTTTACATTTCAAACTTTTTTGAAAATAGTGTTTTTTCCATATAGTATATTCCAATTATGGCTTCCCCTCCCCTGACTCCTCCCAGATTATTCCTGCTTCTCCACCCACCCTAATCCACACCCCTTTCTTTTTCTCTCACTAGAATACAAACAGGAATCTACAAAAAATAGAAGTGAAAATAAAAATAAAACAAACCAGCATAGGACAAAATGGGGTGGGGTGGGGGGCCGCAGGGAAGCCAAAGAAAAAGCACAAGAAACACACAGATGCTAAGACATGATAGATGATGTTAGTAGTTTCTTTAAAAGTAGTTAATAGAAAAACACGTTTCAAATGTGTGGGTTTTCCTAGTGTTCTGTGGATCTGCTTAATCTTCTCCCACTTCGGCATTTAGCAAGTCACTGTTTTTCTCCCTTAGAAGTCTAATGTCTGGATTCTCTTCAGCTGCCATGCCCCTTAATAAAGACTTGATCTTGCAGAAGTGTGCAGATGATCTCTGTGGGTGTTGGCTGGGGTAGAGTTGACTGTTGTTTCCCAAGCAGCCTGGCTGCCACCCTGGGTGCCTGCTTTGTTTGACCCCTTACCGGGGCCTGTTAACATGCAGATAAACCCTTTAGCAGATGAGAGGTAGATGGGAAGACCTCCTTTGGTCCTGACAGCCTGCTGAATGAAGCTTAAGGCGGGGCATATTTAGAACTGTAATGCATTGCATTATCAACTTCTGATGTGGATATTAAAAAGAAGTCTTTGAAGTCCACAGAGTCCGTCCAGGATGAATATTATACCCTCCTTAGCTAAGGCCTTCTCCGTGAACTCCCAAGTTGTGTTTCCATCTGCTGACTTGACAGGACCTGATTCAAAGATATGCAAAACTGTCCCCTCTACCGGCCTCACACGTACTCTGTGTATGTCAAAGCTGACATGACACTTCCTCCCACGAGACAAGGCTCAAATCCTAAATGTCATCTTTGTTTCTGTCCACGACATGCATTCATTCAGCAAACTGTTTTGTTTTCTGACTTTACAGGAGCTCAGAACCTCTTCTGCTTTTCTGAGGCTCGGCAGTGTGGCAATGTAGCCCTGCCACGGCCAAGGCTTTCTGTCCACCTGACTGCGCCTGGGCTCCTGAGCTGGGCGTGGTCCTAGGTCCTGGTGGGGTCTAATAAGTATTTGTTGGATGAAAAATTCATCACTGCTTTTCAGGATATAAAGTATTAGTGAAGCTATAAATTGCTTTTGAATGATCAAAAATTTAATCATTTCTAAATAGGACTAGACTTTTTCAAGTAATTTTGGAATTCTTTGGTTTGGGATCTTGAATAATATCCACTCTTTATGAACTGAACTGCTGAGACTATGTACTGGTTAAGGCACTGTAACGTCTAATTTCCAGATAGCCTGTGAGGTAAAAGGAGTCTATATTTTGCTGATAAGAAAACCCAGTTAGAGTGAAGTAGCTTAACTGTGGCTATAAAGGACTAAGTTGCAGGACTAGAAACAAGGCCCAGTACAATACAGCTTCTGGAGTGACATGCACTCCAACACCACTTCAGAAAGTGTGTGTGTCTGTGTCTGTGTGTGTGTGTCTGTCTGTCTCTATGTGTCTTTATATAGCCACTTCACACTTCACATCTAAACCTCCACTTATAACTCATGCTGTGTCTTTGGGGCAGAGTAGTTCCATCTATTTTCATTTATCAAAGAAGAACTTTTGTGAGATTCTTTTACTGCGTTGTGTTGATTATCGATGCTAACCCAGCTAATGCCCTTGGCCTCTCTTTCTTTCTGGAATCAGTCACCTAAGTAGTCTATAAATAGCAGCATATCAAGCACTTTGATTTTTCTTTTATCTTCTCATCACACGCTCCTAATAACCAGTAATAATAGCCTCAGAGAACGACAGAGTTGCCAGCTCTGAGAGGAAACCTGAGGATCCCTGAAGATGAGGGGTATCCATAAGGACTTCGAAAGCCAGTAACAATGCCATGAAAGTTATCAGAAAGTTTTTTTTTTTTTTGGGGGGGGGGGTTGTGGGTGACACGGTGCCATGGCTATCACTTGGATTTAAATACGTCAGCTCTGGGAGGCTGCTGTATGAGAAGCAAAATCCAGCTAAGTAAATGGCAACAGGTGTACTATGCAGGAAATAGATTCAAGGAAAGGCATGTTCATGAGGTCAGGAAATCTGATTGAATATGAATATGTACAATGTAGTCAAGGTCATCTTCGGTCTATTAAATATACCATCTTTGTGTCCACTCTATATTAACATTAGTAAGGAGGCAGGTTTATTATGTAAGGGGAGGCAGTTAGCTAATCTCACTGAGAGGTCTCCGTAGGGAGCAGTTTCAGGTTGGAGTCCTGTGAGAGGAGGAAGCTGTGGCTGATTATGTTTCTGTACACACTGGTTTTAGCAAAAGGCCAGTTGTTGATGACATTCTTTCTTGGACCTGAAAAAGGCCTTGCCATTCCTGTGAGTGTGACCCAGAGGAAGGCTTTGTCATCTTTGTGAGCCTGAGGCACTGGGGTCCTTGACATGGCCATGCTCATGTCAATTACACACGTTCACTCAGGACTTCATTGGTTCCCCACAGGGGGCTTTTTTCTCCTTTATTTGACTAAAATTATATCACTTTCCCCTTCCCTGCCTCCCTCTTATTCCTCCTGTACACCCTCCCTTCTTCCCTCTCAAAATCATGTCTTTTTTTTGTTACTGTAACACATCCGTGTGTGTGTGTGTGTGTGTGTGTGTGTGTGTGTGTGCGCGCGCGCACTTGAGTGCCCACATGCACGTGAGTACACCTGAATATATAAATACAAGCTGCGCAGTCCATGTAAGCATTGCTTATACGTATATAATTTGGGGCTAACCACTTGGTATTGGATAACCAGTTTTCCCCTGCTCTTGGCATTCTGTAGTTCTTGATCTATTGGTGGGATGCCATAACATTTTCCCTACCATGGTAACATGCCTATTGGAGGTACACTTCTTCAGGTCTTGTGCCAGCAGGTATGTTATTGTGTCTCCTGGCATTCCTGGGAGACACAGTCTCACAGCAGATCTTCTGGTCCTCTGGCTCTTTCTTCCGTTATTTCCGCCCCTCTCCTGAGATGTTCCCTGAGCCTTAGGTGCAGGAGTTGTGTTGCGGATGTGTCAGTTGGAGCTGGGAACCCCAAGATTCCTGGTTCTTTACATATTGACCAGTTACGGTTTGCTGCAGTGGTCTTTGTTGCGAAGGGAATTTCTCTGAAGAAGAGTGAGATCTACACTTAAGTGTGGGTATAAGGATATCTAGAATGCAGGTAGGAATCATGCTGGTTTAATAGAGCAGTGGTCGTAGGTCCTCTGACAGCCATGACGTCACCGGCCCCAGTAGTTGGCTAGGTCTCCAGTGCCAGGCATGATCTCCCTCCTGTTGAGCAGGTCTTACATACAAGCAGAGAGCTGCTGGTTACCACCACTGTGCCAATGCCACTACTGCATCCATGGGGTTATCGTGCCACGCTGGACATCAGTGTATAGTTTAAATTACCCCACTTGATTTGATCATGCTCCCCCTAAGAGCCATAGACCATCTAACAAAAAAAAAACTCAGCATCAGGCATGATAACCCCTTTCAAGATGTTATTTAGCCGGGCAGTGGTGGTGCACACCTTTAATCCCCGCACTGGGGAGGCAGAGCCAGGTGGATCTCTTTGAGTTCGAAGCCAGCCTGGTCTACAGAGCGAGATCCAAGACAGGTACCAAAACTACACGGAGAAACCCTGTCTCGAAAAACAAAACAAAACAAAACAAACAAAACAAAAAAAGATGTTATTTAGGGGCATCTTATGGACACCTAAAACAATATAGGCTTTTGCCCTTGGTTCCTTCTCAGAGGTTGAAGGTTAATTGCTAAAGACACCATGCTCTTCAGAAATAAGACCTGGAGGACCCAAGCTGCATCTGACTTGAAAGCCTCCACCCTGTGAGAACTAGCTTTCATAGTACTAGAAGGTGCTATGGAAACTTCCAAGGGGGGAAGCAGTCATTCCCACCCAGCTACAATACCAGTGGATCACAATGAAGCTAGAGTAGTTTAAGTATATGGAGTATCCTTTTCTTTCTTTCCTCTATTTTTTTTCTTCTGATTTTGTTTTATTCTAACTCAACAGATTTGAAATTCAATAGAGAAAAAGAATGGTTGTTGTATTAAATAATTGTTCAATTATAAGTAAAAAGCACTTTATATCTGTTACCATAGTCACCA